AGCAAAACTGATAACAGAATATTGAACTTTATGAAAAAAGTCTGGATATTGTTATTCACTTTACATAGAAAGTTAGAGTAAGATTACTTTTACAACTAATTTTGATTAGTAGTTTATTTTACGAGATGAAAAACACCCTCTTTTAAGTATACTTGTACTTTTGAAATGTAATTGTCCAAATGTAATACTGCTATGAATACTATTTTGGTTCCAAATTTTTCCCTTTAAAACTCTCAAAACACTCTGTGTCCTTACAACTGCAGCTAAAATCGTTAATGATTCTGGCAAGAAGGTGACAGTGTGTGTATTAGAAAAGTAGACAATAACATTTGAATATATTTCACATTATTGTTAGTCAGCTAAAGTCAACCTCTCCTTGACTATAGATACAATATGTGGTTTTGCAGTGAATTCTGAATGGAAAAAAAAGAATGAAGTCTTAAATTTATGTGAAATGTGGCTTCAGGTCATTTGAACGATATGTAGAAATCTAGATGAACATATCATTAGAGGTGAAGGCAAAATTTGTTTGAAAGCCTAATGAGATGAAGCAACATTGTCTCTCTCTAATCTGCCAACAATATTCCCTAGATTATGTTGCCACTATATTGATCCTGAGTAATTTGGCCTGTTTATGCATGATTTAAATGCATGTGGCTGAATGCAGTAATTTTTCAAGTTACTGGGTAGTAGAAAATTTACTTCTATTCACTGTCTCCCAGAGATGAACATTTAAAAGAAAAAAAAATCTACTTTACCATGTGTAAGAATAAAGCAACTAAATGATACAAAAGTAAAAATTTTTATCAGAATCAGAGATACTCAAACAAGTGAACTGCAAATCTAACATGAGGGGACAAAGATAGGCACTTGCAAGGACAGAGCACACGTGGATCATGCTGTCTGAGCTCACTTTGTGTCCCTGGAATTAGTCTTTTTTGTGTATGATCTGACTGGCAAGTTTAATGAATAGACAAAATCTGTGTTATTTTGAGGCTCCTAAAATTGCGTGTGAACCCCAAGTTCTGTCTAGCATTATATTCCTAAAATACTTTTATTTTAATATTGGTGTATTCCAGGTGCCATATGAAGATCCTGTTTTTAAATTTATCAGGCATTTTATTATTCAATGCATAATATGTATAGATCTGAGTGCTGTTTTTCTTGCATTGTTTGTTATTTTTTACCTTGTCTTTCCCCAAGAGAATGTAAAGAAAATCTTCAAGATTTCTAATGCTAACGGTAATTAGGAAAATAGTAGTTGAGAGATATAAGACTAGATTGAGAAGAGGGAGTAAAATGGGTGAAAATGACAAGTGGGAACCATATAGCTGAGATATATTTGTTTAGATGAAAAGTCTACACTGGTTCTTAATACGAAAAACAAACCATGTATCTACCTTAAGAACAATGTTGTTTTTAATTTATTGTAGTGGTTTAGTTTTATTCATGTAATATTTCAGTTTTATTTGCAGATTGTTTTTAATTTAAATTGTGAAATTTTTACTTCTCAAAATGTATTACATACTGTATTTTTTGAATCTTATTTTTAAATAAATATTTTTTAAAAACATAGGACTGTTTTTCTCCTATTACGTTTTTATTTAAGAAAATAAACCCAAATTTTAGATTTCAGCACTACCAATGTGATGGGATACTTTAAAAATTTTTATACAATGTGGATAATTATTCATGATAACTAGCCTTGGGATATTGTTCTACCATAATCCCAGAATTCATTAAGTATTCAAAAAGAACTAGATGTACCTACTAGGGTTGAAATTGACAAACACAATATTTCTAGTTAGGCGTATTTATCTTAGAGATGACCCAGATGGCTGGATTTAGTTACCCAATTTATTTAACGTTTATTGTGACAGACACTATTGTATAGAAGTATTTTTTCTTAGGGGAATAATTTACATACAATAAAATGCAGAGACTTTGTTTATACCTAGGCCCTACTTTAGATCTGGGAATATTGAATTAAAGCCTTTGTTCCTATGAAGTTATATTCTAGTAGCTTTTTGTTGACAAATTTTCTCTAATCCTAAACTAAATGCTTTCCTTGTAGGAAGTCACAAAGAAGTAAACATGAGTTGGCAAAAAAAAAAAAAATCATTAGCTCTGAAAAGACAATCAATAGGTCTTACAAACAGTAAATTAGTAGAAACTGCCCTGAGATTGAAAGACAGAGGATTAACTTTATTTTTTAAAGTCTTTTTAAAATTTTTATTACCAGAAAAGTAATTTTGAAAAATATTCTAGATTAGTAGATAAATTTATTTGCTAGATTTGCAGATAGAACTATAAATTTTGCTTTATTGGTAAGTCAAAGCAGATTTGTCAGAAAGTTTGCCTTCTGACAAACTTTTAAGGGTTATAAATCTTTAATCTTGTGTCTTTTGCAATTTCCTTTGTTTTGATTCTAAGTAGCATTTATAATAATGCTTTCTTAGTGATGATAAGTTACTGTAGTTCTCAAACTTTTTGGTCTCAGGACTCCTTTACATTCATAAAATTCATTGCAGGCTTCAAAGAATTTTTGCTTATGTAAGTTGTGTTTATCAGTATTTATTGTATTAGAAAATAAAACTGATCAAGACCTAGGAGAATTTGAAAAAAAAAAAGGGAAAAAATTAAATAGCAGCTAATTTATTTAAACATAAACTCATTACATGTTAACATGAATAACGAATATTTTTATTTAGAAACCCATGATTTTACATTGCTGCAAAGTTTTCATAGCTGCCTTCGTAGAAGTAGTTTGGGTCTCATGCTGCTGCATTACACCAGTTGAATTGTTATTTTGTTAGAAGTATCTGGAAGTCTGGTCTTATGGAGATAATGTAGTTGGAAAAAGGAGTAGTATTCTAATAATCTTTTCAAGTAACTAGATATTCTACTCTGGTACTACCCAAAAACTCAAGTGTTGGCTTCTTAAAGTTTAGTTAGTTACAATGTGGAGTCAGAAACGATACCAGGAAACTTCATATTCTTAAAATTCACTGGTCTCTTTTTCATTTTGGAAAGTTCTTTTAGCCATACAAAATAAAATTAAATTCATTAATATTACCACTGGCTCGTCAGAAAAGTAAGTATTGGGAGGCAGTTAGGTTCATGATGACAGATTGTATTTTTCACAATGCTAATTTTCATGTGAATACTCGAATTTTATGATTGGCAACCACATACTGCCAGTAGTTGTCTTGAAGTGACAGATTACCTTCACTTATTTTTGAGAAAATGCTTGCCAAATACCCAAGTCTGAAAAAATGGTTTTTCAGTCATTCCTTCAAGTATAAAACAGTGTTGCATGAAAAAAAGTGGCTAGTTCAGCTTGCAACTCAAATAGTCACACAAGTTCTTTTCTTTAGTCATACACAATTAATCTCTGGAATTCACCTGAAGTGCTTTATATGTACTTCCATTTTGTCAAACAGAATATTTAAAATGTGCTCAAGAACAAGCTTTAGTAAAATTCACGGTTTTTACTGTTTCATCAGTATTATTACTAAGTGAAAAATGGGCTTGTCACTTTTTTTTAAGCTAAAGTGTGTTTTAATCTAGTTAATTTGGCTCTGTTTGGGGAGGAAAACAATGGGAGAAGGTAGAGCAGAACCGCATACATTTGAGACTAGATTCATTTACTCTGACAAGTGAGAAGAAACATCCACTGCATAAAAATAATTTGTATCTGCATATTCCAGCAGATACAGATTTTGAACACTTAAAATATGTATCCTTTACAGATTCACACCTACTTAGCCTTGTTATAAAGAAGCAAAAAGTAAAAATACATGATAGTATTAAAAGAGTACAGAATCATTTGAAAAGCTGCCAGATACTGTAGATGAACAAATGCATACAAATGCTGCTCTAGGCTGACCAATTACCCATATGAGCAGCAATTATATAAGCGTGCAAGGGCAATTGGAGGGAAAATTGGACCCTGTGGACATCCAGCTGAGCAAACAGTACTGAGGAAGGATGGAGGATATGTGTTAGTTTGGAAAAAAACTAAGCTAACTTAAAAAAATATTTGTATCAGTCACAGCACATTCTTTGTATGTCCTCTGGATGACTAGTATTTTCAAATTAGGCCCCTTCTCCAAACAAGAAAGCACCTCTGCTTAAAGATCAAACACCATAAAAAATAGCAATGTGTTTTGAATTTTTAAAAAAGCCAGACTATTGAGGAAATTAGGAACTTGAAATAATACAATTCCAAGCACTCAGATACTACTGTAGATATGCATTTGAATGTGTCTTTAGTAGTAAGTTTAATTGTAGCATGGTTTGGGTGATATTTATCCTTCTTAGTATTGAAATGTACAACTTTAAAAAATTAGAGGTGTTCTCTCCTTCCCAGAAGTAGCTACTGGCCATAACTGAATGTTTGAGTACCTAATAAGAGCTGGAGGTTTTACAGATCCACACTGAAACTATGAGTGAGTAATCCTAGATGAAGTCATGCCCAACAAGTTAATGAAATTTGTTGTATAGCCTGTGTCAGCTTTGTGAAGGTAGATCAGATATCCTCATTATGTTAAACAGGTTCATATTTTAATGCTATCTAGAAGTAAACAATATCAGGGATTTTTGGTTGGTCTACACTTGTAACTTGATGTCCGTCTTTAAGAGAATTCTTCAGTGTTCAGAAGCATTTCAGATATTCTCATAGTGGAAAAGTACCCACAATGTGGAAAATACTGATCCAGTCAGTACAGTACTGTGCTGCGAAGTGCTCTAATTTTTGTCATTTACTTTTCATGGGCATTTTTTACATTTGAAAGTCTCCAGTAATTTGGGTGATCACTGTTGTAGGAAGCTTCCAAAAGGGTCTTCAGTGATCCCCACTTTCTGGTATTCAGACCCTTGTAGAATCTTCTTTTCCCTCCTCAGAGGTGAACGCTGTTTTAAACATGGTATACAACATTCTGATACATGTTTCCATACTTTATGTAAACATGAAAAATATTTTGTTTGATCAGTTTTTGAAATTTATATAACCCCTCCCACAACAGCCCTGATCTCTTGTCCCTACTTTCCCCCGGCCCCCATAGCACTTATTACCATTTAGAACAAAATGGAAAAAATGCCCGTTACCAAAATCTTCACTCCCACCCTCCTTCCCAAAAGTAGCTACTAGACATAATTTGGTGTGCATCGTTCCACTTCCCTTTTTTCACATTATCATATGTTACGTGATATATTCCTGTCATATAATGATATATGATTATCCCTATTAACACATAATAACTTTTTTTTTTTGAGACAGGGTCTGCCTCTGTCATCCAGGCTGGAGTGCAGTGGTGCCATCTCAGCTCACTGCAGCTTCCATCTCCCAGGCTCAAGCCGTTCTCCCATACCCAGCTAATTTTTATATTTTTTGTAGAGTCGGGGTTTTGCCATGTTGCCCAGGCTGGCCTCCATCTCCTGAGCTCAAGCAATCTGCCCTTCTTGGCCACCCAAAATGCTGGATTATAGGCATGAGCCACCATGCCCAGCTTCTTTTCTGTACAGTTCATCGTATCAGTAAACTATATTTAACCATGCCTCTATAGTGGACATGATACAGATTTTCTTTTGCTATTAGTAACAGTGCTACGGAGGACAGTCTTGTGCAGAAATATTTGTGCCCATTTGCTGGTATTTCTATAGGTAAAGTCTAGACATGAAATTGACAAGTCAAAGGATGTACATATTTTTGATTTTGATAGGAATTACCAAAATATCTTCCAAAATTCTTTACACACATTCTCAAATGAGTACTACTAATTTTGAAAATTTGTAGCAAAGTAATAGAGGTGAGCATCTTTTTTTTCTCTTGCGTATTCCTTGGTTATGGTTTTTGACTAGGTTGTTTACCTTGTTGAATGTTGGTAACTTTTTATTAATATATTTTCTGGATATTATTTTTTAATCTATTTAATAGGTTTCTAGATTTTAGCCGAGTCTCTTGTTTTTCTTTATGGTGATTGTTTCTGTTACTTTTGCTGTATAACAATCCCAAACTTAGTGACATAAAACAACCAACCATTTTTTAAAAATTTCTTTATTATCCTTTAAGTTCTGGGGTACATTTGCAGATCATGCAGGTTTGTTACATAGGTGTGCACATGCCATGGTGGTGTTTTGCTGCATCCATCACCCCATCATCTACCTTAGGTATTTCTCCTAATGCTATCCCTTCCCAATCCCCCCACCCACTCCTATTCCTCCTCTAGCCCCCCACCCACCAGGTCCCGCTGTGTGATGCTCCCCTCCCTGTGTCCGTGTATTCTCATTGTTCAACACCCGCCTGTGAGTGAGAACATGCGATGTTTGATTTTCTGTTCTTGTGTCAGTTTGCTGAGAATGATGGTTTCCAGATTCATCCTTGTCCCTACAAAGGACACAAACTCATCGTTTTTTATGGCTGCATAGTATTCCATGGTGTATATATGCCACATTTTCCTTGTCCAGTCTATCATCGATGGGCATTTGGGTTGGTTCCAAGTCTTTGCTATTGTGAACAATGCTGCAATAAATGTGTGCATATATCTTTATAATAGAATGATTTATAATCCTTTGGGTATATACCCAGTAATGGGATTGCTGGGTCAAATGCTATTTCTATTTCTAGATCCTTGAGGAACCGCCACACTGTCTTCCACAATGGTTGAATTAATTTACACTCCCACCAACAGTGTAAAAGTGTTCCTATTTCTCCACATCCTCTCCAGCATCTGTTGTCTCCAGATTTTTTAATGATTGCCATTCTAACTGGCATGAGGTGGTATCTCAATGTGGTTTTGATTTGCATTTCTCTAATGACCAGTGATGATGAGCTTTACCATTTTTTAATGGTCACTGTTTCTCTGGGCCAGAAAGGGCACAGAAGCTTTTCTTTGTTCCATGGTGAAGACTGAAAGACCGTGGAAGATTCTATGGTTGGCAACTGCAATCAACAGAAGCCTCATTTACTCACATAACTGTTGGTTGATGCTAGCTGTCAGCTGAGAGCTCAGCTTGGGCTATCATCCAGAACACGTACACATACTTCTTCATGTAACTGGGCTTCCTTACAGCATGGTGGCTAGGTTCTAGAAGTCAGTGGCCCAAGAGAACCAGAAAGAAACGATACCACCTTTTATCACCTACTTTAAGATGTAACAAACCTACTGTAGTCACAAGCTTGCCCAGAGTAGTGGGAGAAAACATAGACTCTATTTCATGGGAATAGTGTCAGAGTCACATTTCACAGGAAAAGTAGGATGGAAGATATTGTTGAGGACATCTTTGGAAAATTAAATTTGCCCAATCATTATGTTGTATGGAAGAACTAAACTACCTTGAAATTTAATAGTTTTCATTATGTCTTCTGGGTTTTATTACCTTGTTTAGAAAGGCCTTTCCTAAATCAAAATTGTGTATTTTCCTTTATTTAAAAAAAAAAAAACTTTGCTATTTTTGTTTTTTTAAATATTATGCTCTTGAATCCATTTTGAGTTTATTTTCATAAACTCCAATGTAGCTTTATTTTTATAAACTTCAATGTTTTGCATATTTTTGGAAACTTTTGTTTCTGTAATAGTGTATAGTGAGAAACTAAATTATTTCAGATGAACAAAATATTAACAGCACATAAGACCTGATAGTATAAATCTCCTAAAACAAAACATAAGGGAAAAGCTTCATAACATTGTTGACTTCTTTGAGATAACACCAAAAGCACAAGCAATAAAAGCAAATATAGACAAGTGGGGCAACATCAACTTTAAAAGCTTCTGCATAGCTAGGGAGAGCTAATAGAATCAAACGGCAGCCTATTGAATGGGAGAAGATATTTTCAAACCACATATTTACTAAGAGGTTAATCAAAATACAAACGGAGCTCCTACAACTTAACAGCAAGAAAAAAATCCATATAAAGCCTGATTAAATAATAGGCAAAGGACTTTAATAGATATTTCCTCAAAGAAGTCAAACAAATGACCAACAGGTACACGAAGAGATGCTCAACATCGCTCATAGAGAAAATGTAAAACTACAACGAGGTATCATCTCACAATTGTTAGAATGGCCATTTGAAAAAATCATGTTGGTGAGGATGTGAAGACATTGGAACCCTTTGGTACAGTTACTGGGGGTGTAAAATGGTGCAGCTGTTTTGAAAAATGGTATGGAAGTTCCTCAAATAATTAAAAATAGAAATGCTATATGATCCAGGATTCCCACTTCTGGATATGTTTCCCAAAAAAATGATATCAAGATCTTGAAGAGATCTTTGCACTCCTCAGTTCATTGATGTGTTATTCGTAATAGCCAAGAGTTGGAAACAAACAAAATGCCCATTGATGGGTGAATGAATTTAGAAAATTTGGTATATACACACAATGGAATGTTATTCAGCCATAGAAAAGGAAGGAAATACTGTTAGATGCTACAACTGAAACCTTGAAAACATTTTGCTAAGTGAAATAAGCCAGCCACAGAAGGACAAATGCTGCATGATTTCACCAATGTATTTAACATAGACTCATAGAAACAGTAGGATGGTGGCTGCTGTGGGCAGGGATAATTGGGGAACTGTTGTTCAAAAGGTATAGAGTTTCAGTCATGCAAGTTAAAAAAGTTCTAGAGCTCTGTTGTATAACATTATGCTTTATAGTATTCCACTACACTTAAAATTTAACAATACTATACATTTAAAAATTTACTGAGGATTGATCTCATGTGCTTTTTACCATGGTGCAAAATAACATGAAGTATAAAAAATAAGGCCAGGCGCGGTGGCTCACGCCTGTAATCCCAGCACTTTGGGAGGCCGAGGCGGGTGGATCACGAGGTCAAGAGATCAAGACCATCCTGGTCAACATGGTGAAACCCCATCTCTACTAAAACTACAAAAAATTAGCTAGGCATGGTGGCACGTGCCTGTAATCCCAGCTACTCAGGAGGCTGAGGCAGGAGAATTGCCTGAACCCAGGAGGCGGAGGTTGCGGTGAGCCGAGATCGCGCCATTGCACTCCAGTCTGGGTAACGAGAGAAACTTGGTCTCAAAAAAAAAAAAAAAAGATCTGAAGAGTTTAATACTAAATTTGTATAATTAAAAAATACCAAGATAAATCACGTATTAATATTTTGCTTTCTTTGTTTCAGTTTTCTCACTTTGTTTTCTAAAAACATGAAATATTACAGATACATCTAAATCCTCTTTCTGCAGTTTTCTTCTCCAGAGCTACTCACCGTCCTAAAGCCAGTGTGAATTATTTTCATGAATGTTTTTGTACTTTTGCAATGTATGTAGCATCCATAAATCATACTATTTTAAAATTTTACATTTATGTAAATTTTTAATCAGCATCATATTTTTTAAACAAAATTTCTTTATTCATGTAGATCTGGACCATTCATTATAAATCCCACAGAACAGTTATTTGAATAAACTGTAGTTTATATATTATTCACTAAGAGGATTATTTCCTTTGTTATTAACTTGTTGAAAGAGGAGTGAAATAGTGGAATGGTAAGGTATGTGCATCTTCAACTGTAAAAGCTTTCCCAAATTGCTCTTTAAAGTAGTCAAACCAATTTGCACTCCAACCAACATATATATCATTTCTTCTTCTCCCATATCCTCACTAACCCTTGATAACGTTATATATAATGAATTTTTCCAATTTGTTATTGATCTATATTTTTGCATCATTTGCCAATCCAATCATTTGCCAGGAATCTAATGTAATTTTCTGGAAAAAGTCTTTGTAAATATCAAGAGAAAAAGTGAATAAAAACATGACTCTAAGAACTCAATAATTCATGAAGGATATATTTTCTTAAAAAGACAAGGGATGCGTCAACATCTAAGAGTATAAATATGAATCAAAAATTATGCTCTTATGAGGTAGCCAGAGATAAACCACATTAAACAATACTTAGAGTTTGACCCTTACTCTAAGGTTCAGGGTCCACTGGATTGTATTTGTTCCTTAATAAAGAGTAGTAATTCCATTTCTTTATCTTTCACAGGTAGAATTAATTTTGTAAAGTCCTTGTAAAAATAAGTATTGCCTGTTGAGATTCTATTTTTATATTTTGTTTATCTAGCAAACCAAGATTAAGTCAATAATTTATCATATGTGGGTAAATTAATGAGCTTTGGTTGCATTTATGTAAAAGTAGTTGAATCCAAATCTTTCATGTTACAGATGTGCTTGTTACTGGGATTTCATAGGAGTAAAACCCACAGTGTAGAAAAATGTCACAGCAATTTTTTGTTTAGTACATTTTTTCATATCTGATTTGCAGTGTCATTTGTGTCCTTGAAATATAGCCTATATTTAATTCTTCTAGTGGTTATGTTAAAAATTTTGGAAGCGTTTATCCATATTTTTCTAATTGTAATATTCATGTAATATTCATTTAAGAAATGGTATCTGCTGGTATCCCCTCCCATTTGAAATAAGAAATTCTCGTGCTATGTTTTTCAGCTCAATCAGGTCATTTATGTTCTTCTGTAAGCTGGTTATTCTAGTTAGCAATTCCTCTAACCTTTTTTTCAAGGTTCTTAGCTTCCTTGCATTGGGTTAAAATATACTTCTTTAGCTTGGAAGAGTTTGTTATTACCCACCTTCTGAAGCCTACTTCTGTCAGTTCATCAAACTCATTCTTGTGCAGTTTTGTTCCCTTGCTGGTGAGGAGTTGGAATCCTTTGAAAGAGAAGAGGCATTCTGGTTTTTGGAATTTTCAGCCTTTTTGCACTGTTTTTTCTTCATCTTTGTGGATTTATCTACCTTTGGTCTTTGATGTTGGTGAGCTTCAGATGGGGTTTTTGTGTGGATGTCCTTTTTGTTGATGTTGATGCTATTCCTTTCTGTTTGTTAGTTTTCCTTCTAACAGGCTTCTCTGCTGCAGATCTGCTGGAGTTTGCTGGAGGTCCACTCCAGACCCATCTGCCTGGGTATCACCAGCACAGGCTGTAGAACAGCAAAGAATGCTGCCTGTTCCTTCCTCTGGAAGTTTTGTCCCAGAGGGACATCAACCAGATGCCAGCTGGAGCTCTCCTGTATGAGGTGTCTGTCAACCCCTTCTGGGAGGTGTCTCCCCATCAGGAGGCATGGGGGTCAGGGACCCACTTGAGGAGGCAATCTTTCCCTTTACAGAGCTTGAGCATTGTGCTGGGAGATCTGCTGCTCTCTTCAGAGCCAGCAGACAGGAACATTTAAGTCTGCTGAAGTTGTGCCCACAACCGCCCATTCCCCCAGATGCTCTGTCCCAGGGAGATAGGAGTTTTATCTATAAGCTTCTGACTGGGGCTGCTGCCTTTCTTTCAGAGATGCCCTGCCCAGAAAGGAGGAATCTAGAGAGGCAGCCTGGCTACAGCAGCTTTGCAGCACTGCGGTGGGCTCCATCCAGTTTGAACTTCCCAGTGGCTTTGTTTACACTGTGAGCAGAAAACTGCCTACTGAAGCTTCAGTAATGGCGGACACCCCTCCCCACACCAAGCTCGAGCATACCAGGTCAACTTCAGACTGCTGTGCTGGTGGTGAGAATTTCAAGCCAGTATAGCTTGTTGGGCTTTGTTGGGGTGGGATCTGCCGAGCTAGACCACTTGGCTCCCTGGCTTCAGCCCCTTTTCCAGGGGAGTGAATGATTCTATCTCGTTGGTGTTCCAGGCACCACTAGGGTATGAAAAAAAAAAAAAAAAAAACCTCCTGCTGCTAGCTCAATGTCTGCCCAAGCAGCCACCCAGTTTTGTGCTTGAAACTCAGGGTCCTGGTGGCGTAGGCACCCGAGGGAATCTCCTGGTCTGTGGGTTGTGAAGACCATGGGAAAAGCATGGTATCTGGGGTGGAATGCACCATCCCTCACGGCACAATCCTTCATGGCTTCCCTTGGCTAGGGGAGGGAGTTCCCCAACTGCTTGTGCTTCCCAGGTGAGGCAATGCTCCATCCTGCTTCTGCTCACTCTCTGTGGACTGTCTAACCAGTCCCAATGAGATGAGCCGGGTACCTCAGTTGGAAATGCAGAAATCACCCATCTTCTGTGTTGATCTCATTGGGAGCTGAAGACTGGCGCTGTTCCTATTTGGCCATTTTGCCAGCCCCATAAAGGCACTTCTTACATGGCAGCAGCAGGGAGAATCAGGTTCTTTATGTTTATCTGTTTGTTAAATTTTCTCACTCAGGGATGGGTGAGGTGGCTTGCGTCTATAATCCTAGCACTTTGGGAGGCCAAGGTGGGAGGATCGCTTGAGCTCATGAGTTTGAGACCAGCCTGGGTGACATGGTGAAACCCTGTCTCTACAAAAAAAAAAAAAAAAAATTATCCAGGCATGGCATGGCATGTGCTTGTGGTCCCAGTTACTTGGGAGGCTGGGGTGGGATGATCACCTGTGCTGGGAGAGATTGAGGCTGCAGTGTGAGTCATGATTGTGCCGCTGCACTCTAGCTGAGGTGACAGAGTGAGACCCTGTCTTAAAAATAAATAAAAGCATTAAATAAATAAATTGTTCATTCAGATTATGAATTGCTTTTCTAAATTTTGTATAGTTTGTCTTCTGTGATATTTCACTGAGCTTCTTTAATATCATTATTCTGCATTTTTTCCAGGCATTTCATAGATGTTTTGTTGTTGTTGGAATCTTTTGGTGGAGAATCGTTGTGTTCTTTCGAGGTGTCACACTTCCCTGCTTTTTCATGTTTCTTGTGTCCTTACCTTGGTGTCTGCACATCTCATGTCATAGTTGCTTCTTCCTTTTTTATGGATTGACTTTCATAGGGAAAGACTTTTTCCTGTAGATGTATCTATAGTGTTGGTTGAGTAGAGCACTTTGGTTTTGATTCTGAGTGGGCACAGTAGTGTAGTTGTATTTTTTCTATAGGTGTAATCAGCATCAGTAGTGTCTGTGAGTTCACAGTGGATTAGGCGATGGTTGTTAGTGAAGGGTGTGGTGAGGCTTTGCTGGAGATGAGGACACCAGGTGGGCTAGTACTCATTCAACAGTGGTAGATGCAGTTGGCCAGGTATGTTGGCCCTTGGGCCTTTGGACAGCATAAATGGACACTGTAGTAGTAGGTCTAGGTGGAGTAATCCTTGACCCTCAAGGCAGCCTGCTCTGGGCTGGTTGTGGAGGCAGTGGGTCAGACAGGTCGGTGGGCCCTTGGACCTTTGGTTCAGTATGTATGGCTTTGATGATGCCAGTATTGGTCGTGGGCCAACCTTCAGGCCCCCAAGCAGCATGTATGGGCATCAGCTGTGGTGGCTGTGAGCTGGGCAGGCAAGTTCTCTGGCCCTCAAGTTGTTTGGAGAGGGAGGGCATGTTAGCAGTGGTGGGTAGAGTGGGTCAGTTTTCAGGTACCCGGATGACATGTCTGGGTATTGGGTCTGTCTTTAGGCCCCCAGAAGGTGGGCACAGGTGTGGTGGTGGTGGGCAGAGCAGACCTGTTGTCAGGGCCCATTTTGCTGTGTGTGACTGCCAGTCGTGGCAGGTAGGGCAGATCAATTCTCAGGCTCTTAGATGGATAGAGGCAGCAGTGGCAGTGGGTGGGAGAGACCTGACCTCAGACCACTGGATGGTATGCGCAGGTGCCAGCAGTGAGGGCTGAGGCAGACCTGTTCTCAGGCCCCTGTGTGGCACTGGGGCAAGCTGGTCCCTAGGTCCCCTGAAAGCACATGCTGGTGTGCAGTGACTCTGCTGCTAGGGAAGGGACTGGGTTGCTATCAGTGGCAGTGGCCCAAGGCCAGCTGCTCTCAGACTGTGAGGAGTGTGTACTCCGCTCCCTTTGTCCAGAGCACCCTCTCTGGTACACTGCACTGTCTGTTCCCTGGGATATAGGACACTGCTTGGGCTAGAGTGCTGGGTCCCCAGCCACACTGCTGAGTCTAGCCAGCATTGTGCTGCTGCAGTCCTCTTGGTGTGGTAGAATGGCAGCAAGGCTCCAGGGATGTGGAGACGCAAGAGGGTGTTGGGCCCCAGGGAAGACTATAGTCTGGTGGGAGCTGAGCTCTCAAATGGTACCCTGCTATAGTTGCTTGAGTCTCAGGGGGTGTGTGGGACCCATCCGAAACAAACTCCGTCTCTGACAATGCTATTGCATGGACTCCAGGCATTTCCCTATACTAGTCTCAGGGCCTGCGAGGGCTGACGGGCTCTTCCTGGGCTAATATTGCAAGAATCTGCAGTAGAAAAGTGAACTACCGGGGGATCTCTCACTTACCTTTTCCCTGAACTGGAATGTTTCTCTTGGCTATGAGCCTATCTCAACCAGGCTGGCTGCTTCACTTCTCTTTCTTTCTATGGCTCAGAAGTTCTGACACTGCCCTACTGAATTCCAGTGTTCTCTCTAAGGCAGTCTATTCAATGTGTGATCATCTACTCACTGTTTTGGTCCTTTCTGGAGGAGGCAAGTGCCAGGTACCTCTAGCCACCAGCCAGTAATTTATTCTATTAGGAATTCTGGGATATTTTGTTCCCTGTTTTTTGGGTTTTGTTTTGTTTTTTTTTCAGAATTCTTTGATTTTTCTTAATCAGACAGTTCCAATGCAATTTCCAGGAATGAAGCAATAGACAAAGGAAGTCTTCCTGTCTGAATACAGGCATTTGTTGGTCAAGCTCTTGCTAGTTTTCTTATTTTCTTATTTTCTCGGGGGTGAGGACCAGGAGGTGGTACCAGATCA